AGCATATAGTTTGAGGATAAAAGAGCATATAGCTTATAGGATGATAGAGCATATAGTTAAGAGGATGAAAGAGCATATATCTTAGAGGATGAAAGAGCATATAGCTTAGAGCTTGATAGAGCATATTTTTAGAGAATGATAGAGTATATAGCTTAGAGGATGATAGAGCATATGGTTTAGAAGATGACAGAGCACATAGCTTAGAAGATGATAGAACATATAGCTTAAAGAATGATAGAGCATACTGTGTAAAAGATTATGAATTTTCTGTTATCGTCTTTTAAATTATTGTTTTATTTGTTTTGACATTTTTCTTATTGGTTAATACAACAGCATAGCATAAAAAAAGTGTTAAAACATTACCCTGGTATTAACAATAAAACACTTTCATTGTAACATAAGTATTATAATATTACCTGACATTGATTGTTCAGAAAAATACTATATAATATTCTGCATTCCTTTTTCACTTCCCATTGGTCTCATCTTAATTGACCCTGTATAAAAGGTAAGAAATAACATGGCAAATATACCCCCACCCACCCCCTTTTCCATCAATTTACCCCTTATAGGAGTTATTGTCCTTGTGGAATGATATTTTTACCCATTTACAGAAAATATAGCAGATAGAGAGCACCTGTAACAAGTGAAAATTATCAACAAAATAAGATCTACAAATAAGTCAACATTCTGGAATATAGTCAACTTGCCTATTACAGGAGTTATTGTCCTTGAAATACAATGTTTACCTATTTTTGTGTGTTTTTGTTGCTGTTGCAGTAATCTTTAATAGAGAGAAACTGAAAAAAGCATAGTGAGAACTACCAATAGGTCAACATGGATGAATTGCCAACAGACTCTCATCAGTCAACTTGTTACAGAAATGATGATTTTTTTGTATTCATTACTTGGAAAAAAAAACATCAAAATTTAAAAATTCATCATTTTTGTAACAAGTTGACTGACAAGAGTATGTTGGCAATTTCAGCTACGGAGCCCGTATTGCTCACCTGTCATCAAGATGGATGTACAGAAGCTCATACAGCCATAATTAGCAGCAAGACAGATTTTGGCCCACGTAATTTCAATTCAAAACACATAATCTTGTTGCATTGTATCAATATTTTTTTGTCTAAAAGTTTGGCCGGGAATTAATTGTTCGCTTGTCCCATAGGGGCGGGCGGTTCCAACCATATGTCCCCATTCAAAAGCAGTGATCGTCAAAAAAAGGGGAACCCCCTCGATCCGCCACGGTTCCCTACCACTTTCCATCTCTGTTTTGTTCCGCAGCATATTTTTATTTTATTAATTACTATTTTTTATTATTGAACACGTTTATGAATACGACCCAGGTATGTATTACCTTCTCATTTAGTGTCTGATTGGATTTAATAATAGATATATATGATCAAAAGAATGTAAGCATAAACAAATAACGATAGTTTCCGAGTCAATTATAACCAAGGTCATGATGTTTACTTCAAGTCACGTTCTTTAATAAAGATGGGTCATCGACGACGGAACATTTTTTTTTCTATTGAACTACAAATACATATTTTTCGGCATCACATACATTGTTACAGATTATAAAATTACAATTAGAAAAACAATAAGGTATTTCCTCGCGTAGGGAAAAGACCTTAAAAATACGACTTCTTCAGTATTATTATATATGATCTCTCAAGGATAACGGATTCTCCTTCTCAACTTTTAATTTTGATTCTTTTAATATGTTTTTTTAAGTGAGGATAATTTGATTTTCTGGGGGAGGGGGGGATTTTGATTTTTCGCGGACGGCATATTCATTTTCACCAGCCAATTGATAGACTCGCTTAATTGTTTACACAAATTCTGCATAATGTTTACGGCACTTCTGTCTTAGACTAGATCATTTATTTTCAGTTCTTACCAGCCCAGTATATTGCATAAATTCATTTCCACCACTCTCTCCCCCAACTTAAATAAAATAATCATTCTTATCAATTTTTTGTTGAAGTGTTTGAGAGAAAATAGTTTTACCGCATCCGACAGACAAATTTAATTTTGTTCAGCACATGTGAATTTAAAAAGAGGAAAAATTTTAAAGTGACGTATAAATAAAGGAAGTCGTGTCAAACCTTATATCCGCTTTACCATTTAGTAAAGTCGGGATTCTAATTAAAACATAGTTTTAAATCAGTGAAGCGTGATAATGAGGTCGATGTCCAATCTACGTGATATGAAGCACGAATTGTATTGTACTTTCGACATGTACAATAAATGATTACTTCTTTATGACGTTCTATCCATCTATCTGTACAATCCTTTTTATGTGTGTGTCTGTCTGTGATCGTGTTATTGCTGCATGCAAAGGCAATAATACACTGAGCGAACAGTACCAAAGATAAGGGGTATAGTAGTTGGATTATTCCTTAATTACATGGAACTTAGTGCAATTAATATGAGATACATTTCACGCTGAATTAAGTGGTCAAATTTTACGTTTGGTAAATTTTTCGGAAATCTATAGTGAAGCACCAGTTACTAGTCATTACATTTCATAACTATGCTGTATACATTTGACGCTTGAGAGTGATTAATAAGCTATCAAATGATCTCAGATTCTAAGCACATATCAAAATCCCCAAAATTTCCTTTTTTAATACGACATACCCCCATTCTTCAAAAGCTATTAAAGCGCTCGAGAATATAAAAAAAATTCCTGATCTACCAAGATGAACAATTTGTACATCAAAAATTCATAACAAAGTTTGCTAGAAATCCTTTTTGCGTCAGGCTGCGGATGTGCAAAGGAAACATCCTCGTGTAAAGGATATTTCATGTTGATCCATACGACATTGCCGGGTTGATCAAGAAATCCCCACTTACCACTAAGCCGGCTTTATACTGGACTTTATTAGACTCAGACTGTATGCATAATGACATCGACTCAATTTGAATTCTTTTTTACTAAGTGATTATTGTGGTCATTGCCCGAGGTTAGCCATATAATGTAATAAGGTTTCTGTGTGATTAGGACATCGACTCTATTTATATCTTCTCTACCGTTCGTGATTTTGGACGGCATGGTCAATTGTCCAAGGTAAGCCATATCAACTGCTCATAAATGTAATTAGGTTTCTATAAATATTCTTTTTTGCAAGAAAAAAATTTAATGTATTGGCTATGTCCAATAGTCAATTATCTAGTAGTTAAACCTGGGTTAAAAACAGGAAACACATCACTCAATCATAGTATGTTTAGAAGAGTTGGTCGTTCATTAGATACGGTCCCCATTACTTTTACCATTCTAGACTACTGATTAGTACCACCTGAATTGTGGAATTTCTATAATAGGGTGCTCATAGAACTTGGGAGTACAAGGGACAGACAGAGTGCCTCCTATCAATTGGATAGTACCAGTCCACAAAAAAAAAAGATATAAAATCCTGCTTCAAATCGGATGTGTATTTGTTATACGTATAGTGTCGTTCAGTTGCGGTCTCATTGGCGTATATAACTGGTCTGCAGCATAGTTAAGGGCAAACGATATAGCTTTGATCCCACGGTGAATTTTTTTACGAAAATTTGCATACAAGCTATTTGTCACCTAGTCAATTCAAATATGTAATAAAAATAAGATTTCATGTGCTACTTTTAGAGATAAATTGGGTTGAAATTTCAGATACTTACTAAAAATTTCGCTTTCTTAGTCATTTCTATCTTTTGGATAAACCTACCTATAACATTTTTGTTTCAAAAGATAAACACAAGCGGATTTTTTTAAAAACGTTTGGAATATCTTTTCTATATAAGTTAGTTCTAAATTAGTGTAAAAATATATTAAGGCACCGACCATTTAGTTTTTTGGTGTGCATGTTTTTTTATACACCGGCTTTCTAAGGTACTGGGACGGTCCGGCTGTTCAATTGTCCTTCAGTTCCTTTTTTGAGAGAAAACAAAAAAAAAATCTTATTGTAAACAAAGAGGCAGATGATACCTAGGGGACAAAAAAATCATTAGTCGAAGAAAAACAGACAATACAGTGGCGGATCCAGAACATCTGACTGACCTAAAAGGGGGGCGCTCCAGTCAGGCATCAGTGATTCCCTATATAATCAACCACAATTTTTTCCCACAAAAGGGGGGCCCGGGCCCTCCTGCTCCCCCCTCCCTCCCCCCCCCCCCCCTGGATCCGCCTATGCAATACCATAGCCAAGATTTATATATAGTCGTACTATATGAATCCCTGCCATAGTCTGGGACTATAAATATTATGTCCCAGCCATAGCCAAAAAAACGACGAAAAGACAATCAAGCCTACATGTATAGACAGAAAATTAAAGACTGAGCATCAAGAACACACCACAAACAGTGGGTGGCCAAGTCTAGCTTTTCTTTTTACTAAAATTTCAAATCAAATTTTCATTTTGATATAAAAAAATATACAAAAAAGTTGTGATCATTTTTCCTGAATGATTAGAAAAAAATACAAGTTTGCTTTTGATTTTTAAAAAATTGTTTAATTGTCTCGACAGAAAAAATCCATGCCGCTAAAAAGATGCATGGATGATATTAGGTGCCATAAGACTTTTCTCTTTACCTCATAAGAAAAACGTTCATGGTCTTAAGTCTGGTGAAAAAGCTACTGATCAAATTTTTAGGTCAGTGCTATATATATAATATGCGCTCAACTTTACTGAAAGGGACTTTCCAGCTCAGGTTAATGAGATTTGTATTAAAACAAGTTTTTTACTTGCGCCTACTTCAGAACACAAATTTCGTTATAACGTTAATTCTGTCTAATGTAATCTGGCTGAAATATTATACTATAGGTTTGTACTGTTTGTGCTGTATTGTGTCTGTTGACATTATGTGGATAGCTGAAAATACACAGCTGATCAGCATATCTCCTGCACACTATCACCACTATGATGATCAGATCAGGTTTTAATACTGGAGTTTGATTGGCTATTACTTGGTATAAATGTTATGATTGGTTGTCTGAGATGTGGGCACGTGAACTTTGTTGAATGAAAATTCATGGTCAAGGTCGATTGAAATAAAAATGAACTGTCAGTTCGAAAAAACGTGTAAGAAGGTACAGGAATGAATATGAGCGGTTGGGATTTTTCTCTTTCATTTGATACAGTAAGTAACTGGTAGAAATGAAAATCTTAAATGTCTTAGAAAGTTTAAAAAAGAATGTAGATAGGTCGCAAGTTTTACGTGAGTTCCTGTTCACGAGACGATACCATTATAAAAATTGAAGTTTTTGTTCATTGACAAATGTAAATTGAGCATTTGTCCTTTCTCCTTCTTTTAGCATCAGATTTTCTAGATCATTCTATTCCTGATTCTATCCGAATGAATTTTTGGAAACATTACCTTCTAAAATAAGATTCCCGAGCCCTTGTGATGATATGTTAGGTTGGGAAAAATCCCTTAAAGGAGGGACTGTCCCTCAGACAAGGGGTTATTTTACTGTTGCAGAAAAGAAAAAGAAAAAAAGAGCTTTTTAACTTAAAAGGGGGGGGAATTTATTTTATTTGAAACATGGACTTGTTTTGTTAATATAATATAAGATAGACGATTTGTTCTGTGGGAAAAGTTTCTGCTATTAATATAAATATGTGCCCTTTTGTTCTTAGAATTGGACTGCCTCGGTGGTCTGTTGGTAGCATCTTCGCCTCAAGTGCGCGAGGTCATGGGTTCGAACCCCGGCCAGGTCAAACTGAAGACTTTAAAATCGGTATTTGCTGCTTCTCCCCTAAGCATGCAGCATTAAGGAGTAAGAGCAAAGACTGGTTAGCTAGGAGTCAGAATAATGTGTCCAGGTAAGGTGACCTGTCTTCCTGCGGACTGTTACCTTGTGAACTAGCACGTTAAAAATCCGGCTCAGCGGTGTCGGTCTATTAAAAGTGATAGTCATTGCCTTGAGGTGTTATTCCCAACGTGATATTTGGTCCCATTGTGGACACTGAAAACAAGATACATAATTTAATTGGAATTAAAAGTGGTAGGTTTGAACAAACAACTATCAGAGTTCTGCAATCAACACCAACTTCTGCTAGTAAAGAAACATTAATTGAATGAAGATATTAATGACTTGGGTCAGTACAGAATACAAAATGTATGTTAAGGGATTACACAAGATTTGTTTTTTGTACCTTCACACCCCACTCTTTTTAACTAAAAGAAATCTGCAAAAAATATAGGAAAATCACTTGACTAAAAACTTGAAATTTACACATGCAAGTACAAATTTATGAATATATTTGTGCATTTGTTTTACCAGATTCATGTCTGAAGTTCTTTGGAAAATTTGAAAAAAATGCCATGAATGCATGTATATTTTTGTCTATGTTTATGCTCTTTTTTATTTGGAAAGGCTTTTATTAATCGAAATAATTGAAATTTACATGTACATCCATAAAAGGTTTGGGAAGATCATTAATGGGGATGGTACATACTGTACCTACATGTATTTAATTATCAGAATTTTCCCCATGGTCCCTTTATTTCAGTAATAGTTATTGTTCCTCATCTAAGACTCTAGATCTATCCCTATAAACTCTTTTTTTGGCATAATGACAAATAAGATGTATCACAGTACCAGACGGTTAAGAATTATTTTTGTCAGTTTGAAAGTTAAATTAATGGTATCCCTCTATACATGTATGTTAACCATGTATTCAATGCATACATGGATAAGTACCCTTATCATGTTTTATATAGAAGTTGATGGCTGAATTTGATGATTGTGATGAAATAATAGTACACTTTTCTGTCATGTTTAGAATAAAACTGTATCTAGAATGCATCTTACAGTTTTTCACCATAAATTTTTAAGTTTGATATTATTTAAGAACTTTAATTTATACTACATCCTGTTATTGGTAAAGAAGGATGAATGAATGAATTTTATTTCTCATTAACTACAAATTACATAGTTACAGAGAATATATATGTATAAACAATTACATTAAATATTAAAGCACATGTGAACAATACAATGAACAATTCAAACATAAACATTAAATTACAAACTAACAATAAGCATATACATGTATATATATTGTTCTGACACAGCACATACATGTAGTACATGTACATGTACAAAGGAATTCGAAGTAAAATACACAGTAAATTCATACTTCTATGTACATGAAGACAGAAGCTACATTTTATAACAAGCTGAATTTAAGGTGTACAATATAGCCTGGATATTAACTATTGACATGATTGATATGAAAAACTGCATCAGTTTACTGGATCATCAAAATAAATTTTAGGAAGTGTGGGGCATTGCATAAATTGGATAGCCACCTCATTGTTAACATCAAATACATTGTATATCCAAAAGACATCTAAAGTGAAACATGCAGCCTTCAATAACATGTGTCGATATCATGTCAAGCTCTAAATTGCCCAGAGCCTGAAAAGTGTGAAAAATGTCGGTGAACATTGTAATTTTTGAAAGGGATTCTTCTGATTAGAATTTCCTTCTAAAATAATAATACGATTATGACTTTTTTGTACAATTTTGTTGAAATGGATAATATCTTTTTTATGCAATGCAAGATCTTGGGATTTGGAATCATCAACTTATGTTTAACACCATATATACTTGACAGTGAAAGAAAACAAAATTATTAAAAAAAGATGCTACGATGTGCAATATTATAATATTCTTCAGGGAATGCATGGATTTTATTTCTGTGTAGGCATTATTGATCTGATTTGTTGCAGCTTATAAAGAGCTCTTACGTCATCACACAAATTGTCAGTGAAGAGTTTGAGATTGTAGCTGCAACAAAATTGAAATTGAAGCTCTTCAATGACAGTAATAACATATTCTTTCATAGCACTTGTGAATGTATAAACAGTGTACAAAATATCAGCTGAGCTGTCTATTCCATTATTGAACATTTTGTGTTACAGGATTTGTGTTAGCATCAAATTATAAAAGGTGGATTGGTAAAGTTGCTTAAAATACATGCCGTCTAGATATCACAGGAGGGCAGGACAGAATTAAAAAACCATACATAACAGTTTATGTTTGATTTCATAAGCAAGACCAAACAAGGTAAGAACATAATCATTTACAGATATATACATTTTTAACAAATGTGTTAAACAGCTGTTAAATGAGATTGAGTCACAGGACTGTGATCAGTCCCATACAGCCTGTTGCATGTAGTTCTTCAGTGAACAGTGGAAAATCAACTACAAAATTAATAAAAATTGAATGTTGATTAAAAAAAATTTTAGTCTGTGATGATCATCAAAGTGAGAGGGGGGGGGGGCCTCGGTGGCCGAGTAGTCGAACTACTGTATCACTAGCCTGTCAACAGTTACACTGAGGTTGTGAGTTAAAATCCCGCACGGGGGCGGAGCAGGTGCACTTCTCCAATCTTAATATACTAGGATTGTCAGTTTTCCTCCCGAAGGTAGATGGTTCTCTCCAGGCACTCCGGCTTCCTCCACCAATAAAAACTGACCGCCATGAAATAGCACAATCGTGTTGAAAGTGGCGATAAACACCAATCAATCAAAGTGAGAGAAAAAACCTAAAGATAATGATATGAATTTTATGCAATGCTAATTTCTATTTAAACAATAATAAATTCAAATTCAAAGTTTATTGCTGTATAAACTTTAAACAATAGTAATAATTAATACATGCAAAGGATAAGAGGAATTACATGTACCTATGATATAAGACAGTACAATAGACCACATCAACCATACAATATCAAATATAGAAGTAAATTAGTATAGAGACAGTAAATATTGATACAAAGACAAACAACACATGGTCCAGATAGTCTGACTAAGTCACTTTATAGAAGTATACATTTGTGTGTATTTGATACATGTACACATGTATCTGTTGTTTTCCTTCTTTCTTTAACTCAGAGCAGTATGTCATGTACATTTTGTATAAATTTAGTTACTGGATGTACATTTTACAAAACAGTGACATACATGTACATATAATAAATTATTTAAGTTTAACATGCAGTTTTATAAAAAAATATGCCCTTTTTATCTTTTGATCAACCATTTGGAATAACAATAGAAACATTTGAATTTGCATAATTCACATTTTCTAATTACAGGTGTCTCCATGTTGAAGTCGGAATCACAGATTCCGTTTGCAAAATTCGGAACTATGCCTGTTGATTTCACATCGTATTTATTGGCGTCTAGTCCGCCTGCATCATCGTTTGAATTTTTAAACTTTTCTCAGCACTTGGACAATACTAGGCTGAGCTTGAATGGATATGTATACAAAGACAGTAGCATTGCATCCTCTATTTGTGCTCTGAAGCAACGGAAATCTGAATCAAATTATCAAAAGAAAAATCGTCCAGAATTAAAACCAATTATTACAAATTTAAGCAGTTCAGGGGAAGAGGATGGACAATCAACTTCTGCAGATTCACAATCGCCGACACCACCTACATCCCCAGGCAAGTCAAAAAAGAAAGTGTCATTTGCAGATCATCGAGGAATGGCACTTGCTTGTGTTAAAATAATGACTGAACCATCAGATGTACCTCCTAAAATAAAGGAAGAGGTTTTAGCGGCAGTGCGTCAAGGTGCTACAGCTGGTGTCTCAGACCAGCCTCCTCTAGTCATTAATTTCCCTCAGCCAGCATCAGATTACTTGGCATTTAGAGACCTTTTAGAGCAAAACTGTGTGTCACTTGAAAATGTAATTATTAGAGATTACAAAGTGTTAGGAACAATAAAAGTTAAAAACATATCATTTGAAAAGAGAGTATTTGTACGAGTTACATTTGATTCATGGGAGAATTGTTTAGACGTTGAAGGTGTTTTCCTTCAAGGTCAGCCTTCAGCATCAAATAATATTGACACATTTTCGTTTGAGTTTGATGTTCCCACAGACTTGGATAGAAATTCAGTTGTTGAATTTGCTGTATGTTTCGAAGCAAATTCGCAACAGTATTGGGATAACAGGAAAGGAGAAAACTACAAAATAACAATTTGCTCTGAAACCAGTTTTGTTACACAGCCAGATGGACAAAACATAACAGAAGATAAACCTTTAAAGAACGTTGACTCGTGGACTGAATATGCTTCATGGAACAAGGTTGATACAACAATACCATACTGGTGAATTTATCTGTGTACATGTATGCAAATTATATATATAAGACAAATTAAAGAAAATTTACATTTGATGTTAATTTGCCAAAGAAATGAAAACTTAAATACTGTACAACAGTACAAATGTATCATATCAGAAGATATTTGGTTGTTTTTTCAGATAATGAATGGATAAAGCTTTAATCATATTTAGTATTTGAATTCCGTAATTTGCTCATGGTTATAATCCATTATCAAGAATTACATATTTTTTTTATATTTTCATGCATTTCAGCTTATGATATTACAAATCCAATGTATTAAAGTCTGGGTTTTTTCTCATTTAAATTTCATACATATTCATGTACAATGTACTTGTAGTATTAAAGTGCCATAATTTTATGTAACTTTGCATAATACATCATCTATCTTCGCCACTTTCATTTTGACAAATTTGTATTAAAAAGCAGAGTTGAGATTATCTGTGCTACAATTATGCAATATTGTTACATCAGTAAAACTTCAGGACTTAATGATGTATATTACTTATTCTTTATTGCCAACTCTTGCAGATTGATTTTACTATAGTAAATTGAATTTTCATTGATTTTTGTGAAAAACTGTCAGGAAATATAAAGTCATTTAAGGTTATTTAAAATATCTACATGTATTGGTGCGTGTCAGTTTTCATTGATTTGGCAATCCCAAAGTTATTACTGCCTATATATACATCATGTACATGTTGTTGACCAGTGATGACCACACTTGGATGTCTTCCAGACAAACCAGATACACCTTCCCTTTTCTATGTTTAAATCAGTAAATCTGTATTTTTGGCTTCCATATACTGGTAGGTTAAAAGTACACAGAATGAATCATGTATATTGATTTTTCTGTCCTTGATATTAAATGTCCTTTATCAGATTGAAGTTTAAAAAACAACTTTGTTATAATGTATTGGCTGCCATACAGTGTCCTTGAGTTGGTCATGTTGGTTAGCAAACAAAATAAATGACATACATTGCAAAAACATGAATTTTACTAAAATTTCATCAATTAACTGATTAATCAAACATAAAAAAGTCAATTACAGATACCTCTTTATTCACTTTATTGTTAGGTATTTGTACATTTACATGGAAAGTACATTGTGGAACATATATACAAAAATGTACATTGTACATGTACTGCATATCAATTAAAATTCTTTCTTACAGTAAAGATTTACACAATACTGTGGTCAAGTGATTTTATCCGAACCAACAATCAGTACCTCCAATGAAATTGCAAAGGGCATTATACAAGTGGGTCTATTTACATGATTGTTGAAATGACCTATGTAGGCATATATACATGTATAATGTAAATGTACATGTAGTATATATAGCATTTTACAAGTGGCTCTATTTACATGTTGAAATGTTTATATTGTCATAAATGTTAACGTAGTACATGTTGTACAATATTATATATATATAATGCACCTACCTTGAAAGTGCTGAGTTTTAATCAACTTTGCAGTAATTCAAAACATGTAGTTTTGAGAAAAAAATACAATGTCTTGACTGTATTTGCCAGATTTTCAGTGCCAGTATTTGAAAGTAACTTATTTATTACAGTATAAAATAATTGTAGTAAAATAATTTACATTATCCTGTACCTTCATTTTTTGCAGTTTCATAATCATTCATTAAGAAACGGGTAAAAAGGGCAGACAACTCTTGGAATATTCTATATTAGACTATATTATATTTCAGTGACTTGCATAAGAGATAAAAGAGTTTGTTTTGTCTGCCATGTTGGTAAAAGTGTACACATGTTCATATCATTTTACTCATGCATATGTACATGTAACTCATACATGTCATATTGCAAGATCTCATAAAACATGCACAGTATAAAGCTTATGTGAACAAGTCTACAGTTTAGTTATAAGGGCATTTTAATGCAGGAATATATATATTTTTGTATATTTTTGTACAAAAGTTATTCTGTGAAACATAACTTGCAAAAAAGTAAAAATGAATGATTGTGTCACAGTGTGTATGTGTGCCAGATATACTAAGTTATGTTTTAATTTATTTATTGCTTAAGTTTAATTTTGTGAAAACTAATGTATACATGTTATTTCTCTTAGCCTTGTTAATTGCACTCATGCAGAGCTATAATATGAATATTTTGAAAACCTGATTTTTCCTTACTGAAATCTTACTACCTCATACTTGGCTTAATGCATTATCTTAACATATGAACCGCCAGAAGCCAAATGTTTTGCAAGAGGGATCCGTTTTCATAAAGATTTACATTTTGTAAGTGGGAGTGACGTGTTAGTGCTGAAAGGTCATTTTCTTACCAAAAATTTGTTCTTATAGAAGTTGTGAAAAACATGTATTGTCATTATGTGGTCTTAGAAGATGTTAAGGGAGGTGATGGACAGGGGTAAGGGAAAATGTGAATGAGGAGGCTGGGAGAGCGGGAGTAAAAATAGAGCTTGAAATGTTTTTTTTTAATGATTTATGTTTAGGAGTAAGGGGAGGGAAGTGGGGGTTGGGGGATAGGGAAGTGGGAACCAGGGACCTCCCTGTCCACCCCTCTTAAGGTCTGCCTGTATTCAACTTAGGTTCTTATTTATTCATTTGTAAAATAAACCATATAAATTTTGTAATTCCAATGTGTTTCTCCTAGAGAAATTTTTAAAAATGTGATACATTTTTGTAGCTAAACTCATTTTATGCTTATATATATACTTATATATTTCTTCTATATACTTTGAATAACCACTGCAATATTAATGGGAGCTGTGTGCTGTATAAAAGTTGTTAATAAATTGTCAACAATCTATTAAGATCTGTTATTGCATTTTACATTAAAAGTTGTTACAATGTATTTATTTGTTTGTTATTGTCTTTACCAATAACTTTACAGACAGAAACAACACAATCTGGTCATTTGATCAGTCATTGTTGTATGATGATACTAGAGGGTTTGATTTTGAGGTCACTACACATAACATCAATGTCATATTTATTAAAAATTAAAATGGAATTTGACTCTAGAACCTTACATGGGTTTGGAACCAAAGTTAAACATATATGGTCTAATATGAGTAAATGATCCCCTTTCATTCTGAATTAACTGTGTCAAAGGTCAAGGTCAAAATTTATTAAAATAGACTGAATTAAGTGAGGAAAAAGAGCTTCTTGATGGTAACTCCTGATTATTGCATGGGATTGTAATGAAACAGAGTCCCTATTGATTAAAAGATCATTGCTTCCAAGGTCAAGGTCATATTGTGCCCTATCTTAATTTGTATTGACATTAAAGGTCCCTCAGTAGTGTTTCTGGTGTGTTCACTAAACAAAATGTGTATAATGGTGAATAATACCTTTGTTTTTCATTGTATAACATTTTCCACTTGATGGTATCATTATCTCTGACATTTGGGCTATGCAATTTAATAATGGTGAACATAAGAGTATTAACAAAATACTGAACTCCAAGGTAAAATTGGAAAGGGGGAAGTCAAGAAAACCTGACATAATCAAACGCTTGACTTCATCAACCAACGGAAAGAATGGAAATCAACTGTCATATTCCTGACTTGATACAGGCATTTCCCAAAGAAAATGGTGGATAAAACCTGGTTTTATAGCACTTGTATGATAGTTATGGTATATTGACAAAACTGAGTGATCATCACAAACAGATAGTTGGTGAACATGTCAGTAATTGGAATCCAGCAGCCAAAACTGTGTCAACTGTAAACATACATCAGATATCCTACACTACTGACTACAAATTCAAACATACACAAATAAATCTGACAAAGACGCCACAAAAAAGTTTTTGTAGTAAACAGTACACACAGTATAGTAAAACATACACTTTCCTGATTAAGTACAAATAAGAAAAATTTAAATACAAGGGTGTACAAAATTCAACATTCAAGACTGCACCTTACACAAGATGATTACTTTTTTTTATTATTAACCACGAGTATGGAAAATATAGCAATCTACATCAAGTACAAAAGGGGAGATGGTACCAAGGGAGCAAAGTTAAAGAATAACGGTTACCACCATTATCACCATGCATTGCCAATGTAAATCGATTCAAAAGGTACACAACTAGACATTATAGGAGGAATAATTTCTGATGCTCTAACAAATGTGATCTTTTACTGTTTCAAATACCTAATTATTGTAAAATTTAAAAAAAAAAAAGGAAAGAAGATGACAATGTTCTTTTCTTTGACAAAGCCAGACCAAAAGATTAAAGGGGCATTAGCTGTCAAATTGATGTTCACCGATTTGACTCGAATTCTCATATTTGATTTATAACATACTAAAATGTTTATCCAAATTACAAGAAGTCTGAAATAAACAATCAGCAAAGCAGGGGCTCGATAATATTTATCAGCATTTCGTGTGTATTTTAGTCTATACGCCATCTAATTAACTATCGAGATGACCTCCGAAGACTGCCGACGTTCACATAACCCGATATAAACATAACTATAAATAGATAGCGACCTCGTGCAGTTGGACTTTTCTAGGTCTGTTTGATTTCATGTTATAGGTTAAAAAAATAAGTTAATCATCGTTGTTACCTGTATAAGAATGATTTTTTGTGGATCGAATCAGTCAACGAAATGGTCCCCTTTGCTTCACTTTCAATGTTGACATTCTTTTTCTATTAATGACGGAACACGGCTTATACATGCGTAACCAATCTCTAGCTAATAGTTTAAATGGAAGGTCACATGAATACGGATTGTAAGTGAATAATTCATCAGCGATGTTTCTTAGCTTATTTTTTTTACAAAATTGAACTAAACTGGCTGTTGAAAGCGATTTATTATTTCACTATTTCACTTTCATTAATAGTTGATCCAAGAACATCATATTATAATTTTTTTATATCTCGTAGCTAATAGATATAAGAAGATGTGGTATGAGTGCCAATGAGACAACTCTCCATCCAAGTGCCCCTTTAAAAGATTTAACTAATGACACATGTGTTCTTATGGCAACCATAACTGTTTACGTAAGTATTGACTTGAAAAACTATTTAAATGGTTGGTTGAGGACCTTCCTAGCCAGTTCGATATGATACTGACGTCTGGTGGCTTTTTTTAGTTGTTAAAATCTGAGTGTTTTTGACTGCCTCACTGATATTTAAACACGTCTTCCTTGATATATGATTTCATCATGTTTACTGCCGTAATTGCAAACAATCATTTTTTTCTAAAATTTACACTCTTAAAGTCATGTTATATAGTCAGCACTTTTGTGGCACAAGCTGGTGAGACACTATTCTGTATTCATTTACCGTGGTTTCTTTTTCTTTACATCACAACTCCTTTGTTCTAACAGGGGTGATCCGAGTCGGATCATCCCTACCAGATCATATATTATAATTATTGTATGGCATTCTGAACTAGATGTTATGAAGCGTAAATGTTTTTTCGTATAGTCTAGAAGAGCTGGGATGTAAAATAGTTATCCCACTCGGACTTGGTGTGTCAGTGTAAGATCACCCTCTGGCCTCCGGCCATGATCTTACACTGACACACCAAGTCCGAGTGGGATAACTATTACAGATTCAACGCTTCCTAAACAGCCAAATTCTGTCGCTGATGATGATGATGAATTTCACCGTCCGGCTATCTTCTTGATATTGCGGACTAATGCACATAGTTATAGATTAGGATCTGTCTGTCTTTTAGCTTTCATCTTACTCCGACTGCGGTGTTGTGGCTGGTAAGGAGTATTAGGCCGTTCTGCCAGGATGGCTGGTGTGGTCAGTAGGTCAGTGTCGTTGATGTCAAACCCTTCACCGAAGACGATCCTACTGCGCTTGCCTCTGTCTGTTGTGGAGGTATAGTATATGAGGCGATAACATGCCTTGTTGGGGTTGTAAGGACTGGTGAAATTATCCCTGTTTATGACTACTCCAACTGGTTCCCCTCTGTACTTAGTTGGTGTAAGTAGTTGACCAACTATCGTGTCTCTATCTTCGGTCTGAGTGTTGTGGTCTGCGCTGGTCTCGGTGGTTTATTGATGTTCTGCAGCGGGTACCACGGCTGTTTTTGTTGCCATCCACTGGGCGTAACGGTAAGCGTTTCGTCTCCAGGTAGATGGTGGCTGTTTTTGCTTTTCAGGGCCGGTTCAGGTTTCCTGGATGTAGTATCTGGCTCCTTGGCCTTGATCCAAGTAAGCTGAACTGAGACCTGGTCCGAGCTGGCGGTAAATTTCCAATCCGGCTCTTTTCCATCTAACTTCATTGTTACCAGTAAGGCTTTCACTTCATTAGGTAGTTCCATAATGTCTGTCAACGATGTTTACGATTCTAAGTTCAACTCACGAATGATGAATGAAATCTGTCGCTGAAATGGACTCACCAAAATATATTCAATTGTTTCCTTTGTGTGCCTAATTTCATTAAGTTTGAATTTGCTAGTTTGCTGATTTCTGTTCACTAATGGAATAAGTATATGTAAGAGAATGATAATCCCTTTCTTCATGATTAAGTACGAGCGTTATCATGAGAATATTGTTGACTTATGTATTGATGCTCAACTTAGAATTTTAAATGGTAGAACCATTGGTGATTCATTAGGGAAAATAACATATCATAACTATATTGGAGCTTCAATTGATGATTATTGCATTTGTAACTCAAATTTTTTACAAAATATTGTGAGTTTTGAGGTGGATGAATTCAATCCTATACTTTCTGACCACTGTCCTATACATGTAAAAATTCTATCTCAATTTTCTGATACAAATTTACAAGATTGTTTAAAGAAAAATATGAGAAACATTAGATGGAATGATACTAAGGAAATTTCTTTCAAGTCAAACTTATTAAATTTTGATTTTAATCAATTATGTGAAGACTTAGAAAACATTAATAAATCACTAGACAAAAAAGGTTTTTGTACAGTATTAAATGAAAAAGTTTCTGAATTTTCTTCTTTTTTGATTGGTGCTGCAACAAAAAGTACAAAAAACATTTCAAATAAACCAAATTTTCAGAAACGGAGAAAAAAGAAAAAGTTGTGGTATGACGACGAGTGTGAAGTTAAATACAGACATGTGAAACAATTGGCTAGGAATTTAAGTAATAATCCTTGGGACAAAAATTTGAGACAAAAAGTTGCTTTTAATAAAAAAGAATTCAATAAATTAACCAGAAAGAAACATAGACTATTTAAAAATAAATTATTGGAAAATATTTTAGAATCTGAAGACAAAAACCCATCAGAATTTTGGAAGTCAGTTAACCAGTTAAAAGAAAAAGTGAGTAACGACCCAAGTTGTAATATATCCCCAAAAGAATGGTTGAATTATTTTAGTCAATTAATGAATATAGATCATATAAATAGATATGAAAATGAAGATATACACATATCTTCTCATAAAAATCAAAATATTGAAATTTTAAATTCAGAGATTACGACTGAGGAGGTACAGAAAGCAGCAAAGAAGTTGAAGTTGGGAAAGGCCAGTGGGCCTGATGGTATATTAAATGAAATGTTAAAAATTACTTGTAATATTAATGCAAAAGTGTTTGTTTGTATTTTCAATGCTATATTAAAATGTGAAATTTATCCTGATTTATGGAGAGAAAATTTCATAAAACCAATCTTCAAAGGAGGTTGTTTTAATGACCCCTCTAATTATATAGAGGAATTGCAGTATCTAGTTGTTTTGGAAAATTTTTTACTAAAATATTATCAAACAGGCTAGATGATTTTCTAGAGAAAAATAATATTGTTTGCAGTGAACAAATTGGATTTAAGAAACACTGTAGAACTAGTGATCATATTTTAACCTTAAAATGTCTTATTGATAAGGCCTTCAAGTTATCTAAATCATTGT